AGATGGCGTACTGGCCTGGTGAGATGGCGTACTGGCCTGGTACGATGGCGTACCGGCCTGGTACGATGGCGTACCGGCCTGGTACGATGACGTACCGGCCTGGTACGATGACGTACTGGACTTGTACGCCGAAGCGCTGGACTGATTCAAAGATGCACTGGGATGGTACGACGATGTGCTGGGTTGATAAGTGTTGAACTGAGTCGAGATGGTGGTTTTTGTAATCAGTGGTTGCACTGGTTTTATAATTGGTTTTGGTTTCTGCACCGGCGTACTGGTCACGTCAGCGGTTTTGTACTGCAGCAGGTACTCGGGATAAATCTGGTGATCCTTAAACACGACAAAGACAGAGGGGTCCGTGACGTCGTTCACGCAGCTGTCGTATGACTTTATGTCTCCGCCACCCTTGGGTGGAGCCCGGACGTATTCGGGCTTCCCTTTCGTGTAGCTTCCCACCAGCACCCGTGCGATGAACATGTTTCTGACACCGGTGGAATCAGTATAACAGTTGGAGTATGAGGCATCCCGGGCGAAGTAACTACCTGGAGTTGGGAAAAGTAAAAACAACTTGTCATTACAGATTGAAACAAGCAAAACAAACAAAGACCACTTGAGGGGCTCCAAGAGAGCGTCAAGCCTCATGGACCACAGTGTTCACATCAAAGTTAGCATCCCATACAGGAATGCCCATCACCTGCCGCTTTACATGCGGGCGTTTTTAACAGAGGCCGTTTTTCTACATACAAAACTTATAAATTCATTTCCATTTTGAAGAGGTGGTATGCTAATGTCCACCGTTGCTAATGGATTTAAAAAGTGAATGTTTGTAGTTTTCTGGACAGGAATTGAACAGAGAACAAAGTAAACCTGAATGTTTTTGGTGTTACGCTGTGGAGAAGAGGTAGTTTTTTTATTTATTTTCTGAGGCAATGCAGATGATGGATCACCAGGCGCAGAGGCGGAGCCAGGGGGTGGCCAGTGGTGGCCACAGGTTAATATTCTGCCACTCATATCATTTAAGGAAACTATACTTTTAAGCAAAATAAAAACTAGAAAGGATAAGTTTCCTCAAATGATCGGGACGGCTGGTTCTCTCACACACAGACATTTATATATGTGTGTATATGGTGGCAGCCATTTTGGATTTTGACGTGAAAGTCTATCTACCGCACCAGAAGCCTACAAGGTCGTCTTTTTTTTTTTTTTTTTTTTTTGCAGAGGACAACTAGTTGAAGCAGCCATCTTGAAGCGCACTGACCTAATGTGATTTGATCTTTTGGAAGCGACTTAGTTCAAGATGGCTGCCGCAGCTAAAGGAACTTAAAGGTAACATCTTTGAACTTCAAGTAGGCGAGTATGCCTTCCTTCAAGAAATGCAACTTTTATTAAAATGTGTTTTAACACAATCAAATGCTACAAGTTTGTGTTTTGATTTGCAATTTTTTATAAGAAAATCCATCTACTGGTTGAAAAAGTCTAGGTTTTTTTGTCGTTACCGTGGAGTTCTTAATTTCCTTCAGCTACGTTTTATTGTCCTCTCTGCTCGGATCAGGTCTCTAACCCACCTTTGCCAAACACGGTCCCGTGAATCCCACAGATCCTCCAGTCGAAGTTCTCGCGACAGATGGCGTCCACGTATTTAGAGTCGGTCCCATGAAAGAGTTGTTTTTCCGTCACGTCTCCTCCGCCGTTGTTGTCCTTCATCACTTTCTTCTGCCTTTCATTAAAGACACGCAGAACTTTTAACCAGGCTGGCGAGTTAGAAACCTTTGCACGGTCTTCGCTGCTTTCCATTTAAGCGATTAGTGGCAGAAAAATTGAAAGTTACGTTTCTGGTCTTGTTTAGTTTGTTGAAGAACTTACGTACAGTTGAAAACCTTCCCAGAGCGCTTTGTTCTGAATCCTCTCGATCCCAACGATTTCAAAGCCTTTCATAGTTGACGAGAAAAGAGCTTCAGCCTTTTTAAATTCATCTGAAGTCCGCTGAACGGCGACTCTCTGGAAAATAAATTAAGAAACGTCGTCAGTGGCGGTCACATTTCGTGTGTCGGAGTCGAAACGTGAATATGTTTTAGCTTTTTTTAAAGGAAACGTTCTAAAGACCGACAAAGTTATTCATAATTTGGTTGAAAAGACGTAAAATAATTATGTCTTCCATGATCTGTTGGTGCTTGGAGTCTGTGTTGGGAATGACTCTCAGCGACCACCACACCAAGTTTTAGCTCAATGTCAGAGTGTTAGGGTTACGGTCTTGTTTTGTGCTCGCTGAGGTCAATTCACTGTGGCGGCCATCTTGAATTTGTTTTGCCGTTAATCGGTGTTCAGGTGTGGTGACGTTAAAAATACCAAGAAGCCCGTTTGAGGGATTTGGGTCTTGTCCCAGGAGTCCGGCACCACGGTGGAATTTGGGATCTTTCTGCAACGAGGAAAAGTTCAGGATCAGTTTCAACGTGAGAGTTTAGAAAAATAAACATATAGTTATTATAAAACAAACAGACAGACTGTTGTTGGAAAAACACAAGTAGAAAAATTAGCCTTTTTTGTGAAGGTGTATTATAAACACCGAATGACTCTGCTGAAGCTAAAACTGAGTTGTTAAAGCTAACAAGAAAAACTGAAGCTAAATTGGCAAATCAGTAGCTGAAACCTAAAACTACCAAAACCACAGCTAAAATTTAAAATCTGCTAAAATGAGCAAACCATAGCTAATACTGATGAAAACGGTGGTTCAAACCTAAAATGATCAAAACCATAGCTAAATGCTAGCATGCTAGTATTAGAAAATCATAGCTAAATGTTAAAAAAAAAGAAAACTGTGGCTGTGTCTAAATTAGCAAACTTGTATGGAATAGCTAAAGCCAGTAAAATTGTCAAATGCAAGAAAGAAGCAAACCAGTAGCTAAAAGCTAAAACCTGCTAGACAGTAGCTAAAATCTAAATGAAGCAAATATGTAGCTAGAAACTTAATAGCAAAATTGTAGCTAAAACAAACAAACAAAAAAGTAAAAGTAGTAAAAAGCCTAAACTAGCAAAACAATAGCTTTAAGCTGTTAAAGACAGTTGGTGCGGTGACCTGGCCTTCCATTTTTAGAAGTGGTAGCTCAATTTTTATTATTTAATGGTGATACAGCGGCAGGTGAACGGAGTCAGAGCAGACTGAGCTATTATCTTCTCATAAGGTAAGCAGAATACATCGAATTTCTGCGTGTCCCATAAGGACGGTCATTTCTGCTGTTTTCGGTCCAATGTAGTTTGGTGGACTAAAAGGAAGTGGAACATTACACTATAATACGGGATTTTTTTATTTTATTTATCGGATGAAAAGTTTATATACGGGACGTTTTCTCGCCGGGACGCGCGTGGGAACGGACAGGAAATGTTAGCAACTTGCTAACCGGAAGTGGTCCGACAGCGTTGTGAACACGCCAAACGCTACTTTTCCCCTGAAAACAAGATTCGTCCGGTTGATTTAAAAGCCCGCACATGAACTTTCGTTTGATTTTAGATTAGTTTAAACAACCGCGTGACTGGAGGTTTAAAGCCCCGCGTGAAAATTACGTCGTCGTTTCTGCGGACGGTAAAATCTTTACGAAAAGCCGTCGCAGTCCGAAGATGTTCCGGGTGTAACCGCCCGTCGCCGTTTACTAGAAACGCGTTAATACGTGAACGTCGGGAAAGCGTTAAGAGGTGTGGGTCGTTCTGACAGTTCGAAGAAACTTCACTAAGTTTCGGGTGCCTGTGGAGAACCTTGCTAATAACTCTCTGAAAGATGTCGGCCCAGGGATCCTGTTTTTGGTGATAGTCCCCTAGTGGTCTGCGGCTGGACGCAGACTGGTCAAAGAGCACAGCGATAAACGACGTGTTGGCTATAGCAGTGCTTACTGAAACAAGAGGATCTTTAAAAAATGCACCTAGGTTACAAGGTATGAGTCCGAGGGAGGACTGGTGAACGATCGTGTGAAGGTATTTGAGTAGTAATAGGGTCAGGTTAGTTTTTAGAGTAGGCAGTTGAGAAAATGTGTTGTATATGTTTGTAGCCTTGGAGTGCTGATAAAAATATAGTGTGTGTGTGTGTTGTGGTTAAGCTAACACAGACTTCTCTAGTCTAAACAAAAGGAAAATCAACGTCTCGTTATCTTGGGTGACCAGCTGCCAGACGGCTCTTTAGGAGCCTGTATTGAGGCTTGGAACAACGAGCTTCGTAGCTCTCACTCCCTTCAGGAGTCTAAACAACGAATTAAAACATTTGATGAATGGGCAGAAAAGCTTACTGCTGAAGGTGTTTTTGGAGATTTGAGAGGCCCTGCACCAGATACAGCAGGAATACTGCAGGAATTTTATCGGACTACGTTAAGGAATCGTCCGTCACGGGCACGTACAAGATCTGACGGTGCACGGTGGCTGACAAGGGGCAAGGCCCTTAAAGAGACGATGCGGGCACAAGATTTCTTGAAACTCACCACATTTTATTTCAGTAATCTTTTTCAGACCCAACAGGACAAACTGAAGGAGGCTGTTGAGGCGACTAAAGCACCAAGCTTGGATGGAACTGATGAAACAGGTGGTCCTACCCACACGGGGACGGGCGAGATGAACCAACCTCTCTGCACACAATCTGCACCAACAACACACTCTCAATGTTGGGGACCATGACAGGCCCTATAAGGAGGTGAATACTTTGTTACGAGTAGCTGGATCCCACCCTGAGCTTAGACTACAAACATCGAGCAGTAAACATGGAGAGAGGTTAACCCCGGTGCACCCGTCTCTCTCCAGTGCCCGTGCTGCGGATGGGGGGAGGTGTAAAAACTCTCGACACTGAGAGGGACAGGGTGGAAATGAAGGCGAAAGACAGAGATGAAGCAACAGATGAGGTGAGGGACAGGTAGACAGGCGACCTGCGTCGTTTGGGTGTAGAGCCCGGCCCGAGCAATACCGTTACAAACGGGGCGGAGGAAAGGATTAAAGGATTTTAAGTAAAGATTATTGATTTTTCTCTGATGAGATTAGCTAAGGGCAGCACGGTGGTGCAACTGGTAGAGCTGCTGCCTCTCAGCGAGCAAGTCCCTGGTTCAAACCCCAGTCCAGGGACCCTCTGGGTGGAGTTTGCATGTTCTCTCCGTGCATGAGTGGGTTTTCTCCGGGTGCTCCGGTTTCCTCCCACAGACCAAAAACATGCGTGTTAGGCTGATTGGTAACTCTAAATTGTCCCTAGGTGTGAGTGAGAGAGTGAATGGTTGTTTGTCTCGTTTGTCTCTATGTGTCCCTGTGATGGACTTGAGTTTGTGATCAACGTTCCCAGAGAGGTGTCAGATGAGGATGAACCACTGACTTACCCAGAATGAATGATAATTATTTATTGATAATGAAAATTATAGAAATTTAGTTAGATGACTGTAGTTTTGTGATATTTGTGGGAGAAGTACGTTTGTTATTTTTCCTGATAATGCAGCTTCAAAAGAGTCGCTGACAGAGAGGTGGAGAGTCCACTGATGGGGGTTTGAAGGATGGAGGCCGGACAGGTGCACCTGATCGGGGGGGTGGAGTGCCAGGGAGGAAAAAGTCACCGGTTCTACTCCCTGAGCTGAGAACGTCACGCATCAAATGAGGGTGTTATCAATTATCATGACTGAGGGTTTTTTAAGGCTCATACTGACAGTTTATTAACATCAGATAGACATCACTTATCATTATTAACATCTAATTAACGTTACCAGCACAGTGAAGGGTTTTCTATTTTATGATTTTACTTTTAAACATAAATGGAGGAGCTCTTTAAAATATATCTTTAGCCAATTAAACACTGTGACACAGTGAACTTACTGATTACGTTAAGCTGTGAGTTTATAAATGATTGATGGATTAGAGGTTTTAGATTTTTACATGTACTGAAATGATTACAGAACACTTTTTTGACATTACTAATATTGATAGGTTGTGTTTTCAATGCTAATCAATTAATGAGGTGATTATACGTGAAGCTAAGTTCTTGGTCAATTTTAACAATTAAGAACAGGTGTGTACTTTAGAATTATGGTTAATTGGATTTTTGAACTCAGCATTAATTGGGTGACAGGTCTCCAACTACTTTGAGAGATGAGATGATTGATGGACAGACTAATTATGGGATGGGTTTAAAATTAACGTTTACAGTTTATTAACAGTATTATGGAGCGTTGTGATTTTTTCTTAAAATTAACATGGTTGAACAAGATACTGTTGCATGGTACTGAGCTAAATATTACCTTTTAATTATTACTTGATGATTTGTTTATTTAATAACTGTTTTATGTGTGAAGACGTGGGTAATAATTACATTTTAATGTGTTTTTTGTGCCAGTTTTAAGAGCTGATCATGATGAAATAACGCCACCACACGGTGCAATTGCGATGATAAACTAAATCTTTGACGTTGTTTTCTATGAAATAATTTTTTACAGCTGGACCATTGGAGAGGAGTTTAATAAATACATAAAATGGGTTTTATAATATAGATTTTCCAGGGGGTGAACTTACGACGCTTTTCAATCCAAATTGATATTAAATTAAAGGGTGTCATGGGTAAATTGGGTTGTTGGTTAATAAGAAAGTTTTTATATTAGATCACCAGGGGGAGCTGGGAGGTTCTGTTATTTACATATGCACGTTGCAACACGTTAAAATGTTTAAATTGGATTTTATTCACAAAAAAACACATTTTTCAGCTGTGACAGGCTAAAAATACCGGCAGCGCTCTGTGCAAATAAAATGGGGGGGAAAAGGGAAGGGGGCACAGAGTTTTTCATTTTCAGATGGACACGATGGACCAGGCCTGCCCCTTGGAGTCAAAAAGGAAGATTAGGTTCTACAAACAGATTAACATTTTTAGATAAGAACGCTTTACTTGCATTAGGGCGCCTCCTGCAACTATTAAATCATATTTAGAGAAACTGACTTAGACCAATGTTAGAAATGTCCATTATGTTATGGCACCACACCTGGGAGAGGCTGAATTCCTAGGCAGATGTCCATGGCTGGGTCAGGCGGCCTGAGGCTGCCAGGTCACGCTGTAGCCTGTGGGCATCTCCCACCAACATATAAGGAGAAGTTCACATCCAACCAGAGGAAAGTGATTCATTGCTTGCTTATCTGGCGGTACTGAACTGGGAGATTTATGTGAGAGAACCCCTTTGGGGACTCTCGCCCAGGGGGAGTTGTTAAGATGTTTCCTATTTAGACTGGTCCTATGGATTTGATCTGCTCAGAGACGGGATTATAACGAAATTATGACCCGGTTCTGACTGGGTTAAACTGGGCCAGCAATCTCTTGAGTGTCTCCCTGATAATTCAATATCTGTCAAGAAATAGTTTAATCAGCTTGCCACGTCACGTAGGAAGGCTTTAAAGCACCGTCTCATGTTTTTCCTTACACGTCAGTCCACATAAGACCACACTTAGTCCCGCCCCCTCATACACTTAGTCACGCCTCCTCATACACTGATAGGCTGAGCTCCCCCTTCTGCGAAGGGCGGAGCCTAGGGCCGTATAAATTAATGATGACACGAGACATCGGGGCTCTTCTTCCGGGTCTGTGAACGCGCCACGGACTGAATAGAGTCCAGCGCTGTGAACTGTGATCTTTTACTGCCTTTTTCTAATATAATTGATAAAACTTAATTGACGTTTTCTTGATTTATTGATTAGTATAGTTGCCACTTCTGCGGAGGGTTCAAGCCGGGGGTAAAGACGTGAGCTGCGGGCCACCGGATCCGGAACCCCCCCCCCAGCCTTTCCTTTCCCCCAGGAAAGCTAAAAAAAAAAAAAAAAAAGCTAAATTGTATCTGGAAACTAACACCAGCAAAGCTGCAGCTAAATGCTAAAATAAAAAAAAATTGTAGTTCAGTGCTAAAACTAGCAAAACAGCAGCTAAAAGCTAACACCAGCAAAGCTGCAGCTAAATGCTAAAATAAAAAAAAATTGTAGTTCAGTGCTAAAACTAGCAAAAGAGCAGCTAAAAGCTAACACAAGCAAAGCTGCAGCTAAATGCTAAAATTAAAAAATTGTAGTTCAGTGCTAAAACTAGCAAAACAGCAGCTAAAAG